TTCTGACTATAATCAAAATCAGAATTCTGACTTTTTTCTTAGAATTATGACTTTTTTCTCAGAATTCTGACTATAATCAAAATCAGAATTCTGACTTTTTTCTTAGAATTATGACTTTTTTTCTCAGAATTCTGATTTAATCTCAGAATTATGACTTTTCTCTCAGAATTCTGACTATAATCTCAGAATTCTGACTTTTTATTTAGAATTCTGACTGTTTTCTCATAATTCTGACTTTAATCTCATAATTATGACTTTTCTCTCAGAATTCTGACTTTAATCTCAGAATTATGATGTTTTTCTCAGAATTCTGACTATAATCTCAGAATTCTTACTTTAATCTCAGAATTACGACTTTTTTCTCAGAATTATGACTTTAATCTCAGAATTTTGGATCTTAATGTAGATGGGCACCATGTAGAAAGATATGTGGTAGCACTCAGCTTCACTGACAAAGATGTGAGTTGTTTGGGAGGGCCAGTAACACATTGTTGAAAAATGATGAAATTAGGCAACTTTTTACATGCCAGAGGGGTCCCAGGTGACGCTATTTTATTAATGGAATTACCAGATGGATTTAAATCAGTTTTAATTATATACAAAAGTTTTTTTTTTATGAAAATAGTGACTACTGGAATTAAAAAAAATAGTAAGAAAATATATTTTCTCTTAGATTTTAAGTAAAACTTACATAAAGGTTTATGTTACTGTCGTAACAGCCAGAAATAGATTAGTTTATAAAATTTAAATTATCATTATAATGCGTCTGTGATCAATTATCATCTGTTTGGACAGATTCCAGGTTGCGTGTGAGCAGTGTGTGATTAATAATGATCATGTGTCGCTCCGCAGAGATACAGCGATGCCTTGAATCACCCTCCCATGAATGAATCTCTTGTCTCTCTTACCTCACTTTCATGTCCTAACCACCTCCAGGCTTGCTTGTATATCTGGGATCATAGCTTCCTTTAAACTTGACAAGGAGAGAAAACGAAAACAACAACTGGATTTGAAGGAGTGGAGTACATAGCAAAAAGACACTGACTAACCACCTGTGAAAAAGCTCAGTACAGTGAAATAGATTCCTATCTGCTCTGATGGGAAATAGTTTTTTATTTGCAAATGTGAATATTTTTCAAATAAACTGCCTTAGGTCTTATATAAAAAAGTAGATTTGTTACCTGTACTACATATTTAGCATATAAACCTATGCATTTTCATTAAATGACAAAATTCCGAAAAGTTATCTTTTTTTTCAACCAATGTAATATGTTTTGGGGGGTATTTTATGTGATAGACAACAAAAAGCTGCAATAACTGTTAAGTCTCATAAAAAAATATTGATGGTTTTAAAGTTGTTATACAATTAAAAATCTGAGAATATGCTTATTTTGAAAAAAAAAAAAAAAAAAAAAAAATCCTAATTTGGTGCAGACTTTGAGCTTTGATGGGTTGTAGAAAAAAAAAAAAAAAAAAAAAAAAGCATCCCCAATGTATGACATTGCTATCACCTTTTTCTACCACAAGGACAGGGTTGCAAAGGTGTTACTTATTATTGGATTTCCTCAAAGCATGTTTTAACAAACAAGCTAAAAAAGTGAAACTGGTCATTTGACCAAAGAAACTTTTTGCACATATTTGCCATGCACGACATGTGGCAAGGTAGACAAGAGAGGACTTGAGCAGGATTCAGTCATCAGCTCCCAGGTGAAAGACATGCACCCTGACCAGTCAGCCAATGGGATATTCCCTTGGCCAAGTATTTATTTTTTTTAGAACTTCCTTTTGCTCTTTACCTTAACTAAATCTACAACACACACTGGTTTCACACTCTTATGCATTATATCTGCGCAACAGGTGAAGCTCCACTCCAGCTTTTCCCAAGCTCCTTAGGCCAAGCTGCAGCAGAGTCCGGGACTACCTGAATTGCACGCGATTCTGTCAATTGCAGGTTCTTGATGGCTTTCTTGTGTGCAGGGTTGAAAAGTTGCTGAGGTTTGCGCACATGGCATTGCGTGACTAGAGCTCGAGATGAAAACACAAAGACATTGTTTTCAGTGATCAAACCCCCTTTATAGTAACTCAGCAGCATTCCTGTCTCGCATTCCTGAGCCACCGCTGCTGTGTGAAGGGTTTTCTTTTCCTTTAGAGGAAAAAAAAGGAAAAAGAGAAAAAAAGGGGGTAATGCATTTTTGTCTGGTTCACTGTGTTGACCTCGCTTTTCTCACACAAGTTCTCACTATATTCAATACTGATGAATTAAAAGTGTATTAAGCATGATCAGATATCTAATGAGGGTAATTAACTGGTAGCAGTTCTTAAACCAAAACTATGCAGCAAATTCAAATAACATAGCCAGAAGCTCCCTTTACTTTTATACTTAGCTTTACAAAATGTTTAGATATAATTAAATTGCATCAACTTTTTTTTCACATGTGGTATATGTCTGTAATCATAGCACTGCATGGACACAAGAGCCTAAAATGTGTGTGTGCCCAGATGTAGGTATGTAGTAATCAGAACTAAAATGTTTTCCAGATTGGTGTGACAGGGCTAATCATCTCCAGAGAGTAAAAACTGTTCTGAAGTTTCCACCCATCTGCTGTAACAGATGGTAGAATTGCATGTGAAAATCCAGGGAAAATGTGGCAGGGATAGTGTAGGAAGCCTCAGGATAATCTTAAGCAGCATTAACATTTTATTTGGCCTTTTCCACTGAGATACAAGTGTCAGATTTATGACATATAGAAATCTTCTGTACTCTGGTAACATTTTCTGACACCAAAGGCTTTATAAAAGCTCTGGGTTCAAGCAACACAGAGGACAATCGAGTCACTCATATCTCCATCATAAGCTCTGAGAGTGATTAAGACTGGAGCAAATTCAATACTTGTTCAGCTCAGACAGAGAGGGGCTTCAGAGCTGAGCTCTTGTGTTGGGCTGTTTGGATGTTCTATTCCCTTGTATCTCTTTGACTACCTCCAAAACAAGGCTCTATTCAACCAGAGTGGGAACAAATGTTTCCTTATTTGGCTCCAAGTGGCCCAACTTTAGCAACATGATAGACAACAAGGCTCTAAGAGACCAGAAGAGAGGGCTTATAAAATATTTTAGTATGAGATGAGTGGTATTATAGACTGGAAGAAGAAAAATACTTGTACAGAAAGGATATATATGACAGGGCAAAGCAAGTTTATTTGTAATATTTCAAAACCAAGACAATTCAAAGTGTTGTAGATGAAAAAATTAAAGGCTCTGGTTCTAGGTATGAAAAGTAGACTTAAGCTAGAAGACCTGAAAGGTGTGAGGGGTTTAAATACGGAAAACAAGTTTGTAAAGTATTTTGGTGATAAGCCATTCAGTGTTTTCTGACAATCAGAAGAATTTTAAGGTCTATTCTCTAAGCTAGGAGCTAGTGTAAAAACTTAGGGGAACCAGAGGCAGGATGAGCAAATTAGACTAATTTCCTCATCCTGCCTCCGGGAGCGAACAGAAATGTGGACAGGCCATATTCACTAGCCTGGCAGTAGCGAGATTTACATGTGTAGAACTCAATTGAGTTCTGGGATGGCTGCTGTTCAGTCTGTCCATGAAAAGCAGGATGTTTAGTGCAATACTTCAAGCTGATTGGGTGACGCGCCAGCTAGTACCCACCTTCCATAATACGCTTTCAGCCAATTGCAGCAGCGAATCATGGTGTTTCGTAAGCTGATAACTCAAACTTTTTTCGAATCCTGTGGGAAGTAAAGCACAGATATCTTTCCCATCTGCAAATACACAAACTGCTTCTCTTTACTCCTTTTTTAAATGAGAAATTGTTACTATATTGGAGATAAAAAACAAGTCAATTGCGGTATCGACAGGTGAATCCTCCAGCGTAGACATGTTTGTAACGCCCCAGGAAGGGCCTTCTGACTGTCATCCCGCCCCAAAAAAACAATGCCGGCCTGTCATTGGTCCGGCTCGCTGGTTGTTCGGAGAAGGACCTATTAGCAGGAGTCTTTCAAGATTGATTTGTTGTGAGACTGAAACCTCAGATTTCGCAGTAATTCAGCCTCCAGCACCAGGTTTGTGTATTCACAGCACTGCAATGGTGATGATGTAATGCTGTTTTCTCTGTGACAGTTTACTATGAGACCACCAGGCATATTTGGTGACAGCAACAAGCATCATGTCACGCACGTTTTCTACTGCTACTACATAAGAAAAACACAACTTCATGTATCAAAGCTGTCGGGATTGTGCATTCAGCATTAAATGACATCAAAACCGTAGGTAAATTCAGTCCCCGAATTGCAGCACAATATACAACACAT